ACACACACACACACACAAAGTCACGTAAACATCCTTAGCCAGTTATTATTAGTTATGATGATTATTTGTGATTTAATGATTCGGTTTAATTACCCAAGTTTGAGGTTTCGACCTCACGATAAACGGTTGGTGATGTGGTGTTGGTTGATGCAGCTGAAACGCTAAAGGCGACTCCTATGCATAGGGTATGATAATTCTATGATATCTTCTCCCACACTTGCTGATATATTCAACATTTTCGGAGCTCGAAGACCTGCTCTTGTTGAGTACGAATACACTCTGCCAATGAAAACTGCCGAAACACACGCTTTTTGACTGCGCCCAAACTAGATTGCTAAAGAAGCGACTTCAAGAGTTGCTACTGAATCAACACGGGTCATATCAGGACTTTGAAAGAATCGTTTGATATACAGTAACAATGCAGCAAAAACACTTGTTTCAGGAAGATCACAATATTACAGAGCTCATAACAAAATCGTTACCAACACAAAACAAATGTAGCTTGTCTTCGTTCGTTGGCTTCGAAGCTAGCCGAATTCTACGAATGTGGGATAACCCTTACAAGAATTTTTCGAAGCAGATAAATTGTCATCGAATGGTGCTTTCTCTGCTTTTATTTCACGTTTCGCCTGTTACGAACAATATTGCATAAATTTTGAACATTTATTTACAAATTAAGCGTAAATTATGTATGGGATGTTAATTTGGTTGAATGATTAAGTCTTCGTTTTGGGAAGCGAAAAGAAATCTTCCTCCTTTTTCTGAGTATTTGGCTTGAGAGGAGTGGGAGGTGGCAATGCTTGCTTCTGAGGATTCTGTTCGGGTACTGCAACCTCTACTTTCTCCTTTCTGACTGAGAAATAATGTTCGTCTTTCTTCGGAGTGTTCGGCTCAAGAGGAGCAGGAGGTGGCAATTTTTCCTTCTGAGGCTTCTGCTCAGGCACTGCAACCTCAACTTTTTCTTTTCTAACTGAAAAATAATGTTCGTCTTTCGTTGGAGTCGGTACAACGGGAGCGGGAGATGGCAACTTTTGCTTTTCGGGTACCAGCTCTGGCTTCTCATTCCTCACTGAGAAATAATGATCATCTTTCTTTAGAGCAGTGGGCTCAACGGGAGTGGATGGTAGCAACTTTTCTTCCTTCTTTTCATTTTTATCGGTTTCCGGCAAGGGAGAAGCCGGACGCTTCTCCAAGTTATCTAGACCCATCGCCAATGTTTTGAGCTTTCTTATAGCCTCTTTCATAGCAGACCTTTTAGGAGGGTTCACAGCTGCTCCCGTACCCAGTGCCAATGTCACCATAGTTGACTGCGCATTTGGCGTCGCCGTTATCACGATATTATCAAGAGCACCACCTTTGTCCGTCGACAATTCCACTTTAGTACCGTACATCTGGTTGACAAGTTTTTTGATTTCTTCAACACACTGATTATAGTGCCTCCGAAGCGTGCCCCGCAGCAAACTGATGAGCAGTAACTGAGCGCATAAAATGAGCAGCATGGCGATTGTGACAATGAGCAGCATGAGAGATGCATTGTCGCTGAAAGTAACCTTGCTAATTTTTCAACTTCAACGACAGATGACACTAAAGTGAACATTTTTTGACTCCACAACTACATGAAAAGGTAAGTGGTTAATAGGCACCTTCCACCCGGGTAGAGGACTATATGTCGCCGAAAGTGGAAGGGTCCC